GAAAAATTCTGTGGTTTCTTGAACCCTTAGGATCACACTTAACCTAGTAAACCCATTTTTTTGGATAAGTACATGTTGGTTGTGTGAGTCTATCATCCCCAATGGATTTTGACCCCTATAAACCCTCTTTTCGTAGTCATTTGGGAAATGAGAGACCAAACCCTAGGAGAGAGTATATGGAGATCAAAAATCTGAAAGACTAGAACCCTAGGGAAGAGAACAGATAGAGATCAGAGAAGAAAAAAAAAACAGAGTGAGTTATACGAGGGAAGAGAAAACCCTAGAAACTGCTTTAGGAACCTGAGCCTCCTGAGAGAAAACCTAAGTCTGAGAAATCCTAGATCTAAGGGCATAACCACCCTAGATCTACCCCTAGGGAACAACCACTCATCTTCAACCAGAGACTTTCTTGTGAACATCCGACTCAGAGAGATAAAAGACGACCGGTTCTGATACGGGTGAGCCCCAGAAGGCTAGGGAGTCCTGGGCCATCCGGCCCAGTTCGATATCGTTTCTTACACTTTTATTATTTATTTTCGTTTTTATTTCATTTTAATTAGATTAGATTATTGCTTTCATTTTAATTAGATTAGACTATTTTTTATTGCTTTTTATTTTGTGTTTCATATTCGGATCAATGCTGGCACTGCCACTGATATGAGAACAGATTAGCTCGTTTCGGGGCGGATCTGGCCCCAGATCAGAATTCGATTTTCCCCACATTCTCTATCATCTTTTTTTAAAATCAGTTTGTGGTGTTCTTCCTCATGGTCTGGGCGTGGGAGCACATCACCATTCCTCGCCCTCTTCCAGGTCGACTGATGCCATTATTCCCGACGATTCATTGCTGGTCATATAGAGTGTGGGATTCTGAGAGGATCCCTTCGCGGTTGTATTACTCACTGTTCTTGGACACTCAGGCCATAGGGGAGGTGAGTTATGTGCTTTATCTATTCTTTCTTCATTTTCTTCTTCTTCTTCCCCCCTTTCTCCTTCTTTATTTGACTTTGAACATATCCTTTTTTGATTTCCAGATCAACTGGACACCCATGAGAGTTGAGCCCGCCCCTGTTGTTTACTCGTCTTCTTCTCAAGCTTTCAGGATGACGGTTCACCTGATTTGCATGTTTCTAGTGATGCCTACTTTCCCTTGTCGAGTCTGTCGTCAGCTTGGCCTTCTTCAGATGTCCTGTGAGATTACCCCTGCCCTAGACTCCCATTATGGTTAGCACCACCGATGAGGATGCCTATCTGAGACAGATGGCTCCTTGGATAGAGGAATGGAGGAGTAGGGCTGTCTGAGTTTGGCGAGGAGGAAGAGGAGGGTATCTCTCTGTCTCAGTATGAGGATAGATATAGGGCTCTTTTGAGAGATATAGCCACTCCGACAGATCATGGTGAGGGGTGATGCGGGAGTTGAGGACTGCTTATCTTGATGGGGGTCGATCGTCTACTGATGAAGTCGTTTCCCTTCGTGCTGAGTGTGATTCAACGATTGAGAAGCGTGATTCGATAGCAAAGGATTTCGAGCATCTGCACCAGAATTTTGATAGCATGGTGGTGGGGCGTGACTTCATGAGAGACGAGTTGGAGAGGGTTCAGGTTGAGTTTGAGAGAGTGCAATCAGTACCATCTTCCTCTTTTGTTTCACCTACCCTTCCTGAACCATCTCTCGACCACATTAGATATTTAGAAAGATGCGTAGACCACTACCGATCAGAGAGGGTATGTTTTCCTGTTATATCTCCTTTTTCTTTTTANGTGTGTGTGTGTAGTGTAATATATATATATATATATATATATATATATATATATATATATATATACTACT